GAGGAAGGGAGAGGGATAGGGAGTTAGAAACATTGATGAGAGAGGAAACATCAATCAGCTGCCTCCTGCACACCCCCTAATGGGGATGTGCCTGCAACCAAGGTACATGCCCTTGACTGGAATTGAACCTGGGACCCTTGAGTCCGCAGGCCAACGCTCTATCCACTGAGCCAAACCAGTTAGGGCAACTCAATATATTTTTTGCTTAATATACATAAACTTGAGTGGCATACATTTAGTAAGAGTTTAGGAAAAGAGTCAAAAGATTTTGTTTATGTTGTTATTCTGAAGAGAGATTGGAGAGGATTACAATTTAAATAAATACAAGTAAATAATACATCCAGTAAACATAGGCATTTTTGTTAGTGTGCTATCTATTGTTCTGACTCACTTAATTCATGAAACATGAAGATGAGGCCTTCATATATATGCAGGAGTATTTGGACATTTAAAGAACACTTCAAATGTATTAAACAGTGAAGTTAATTTTACTTGAGATTGTTGAATAAGCAGAACAACAGTTTACAAGGTGTTTCCACTTCACAATTTTTTTTTTATAAAACAGGAATAATTCTACAACATTCTTGAATGATGGAACACTTTACATGACTAAATTTTTCAAGCAGATTGCACTGTGGTCTTTTTGGACATTTAATATCCTATATAATAAAAGGCTAATATGCAAATTGACCAAATGGCGGGTCGACCGGACACTATGACATGTACTGACCACCAGAAAGCAGACACTCAATGCAGGAGCTGTCCCCTGGTGGTCAGTGTGCTCCCACAGGGGGAGTACTGCTCAGCCAGAAGCTGAGCTCACTACTGGTGGGCACAACAGTAGTGGCGGGAGTCTCTCCTGCCTCTGCAGTAGCGTTAAGGATGTCCGACTCCTGGCTTAGGCCTGCTCCCCACAGGCAGTGGGCCTAAGCCAGCAGTCAGACATCCCCCATGGGCTCCCGGACTGTAAGAGGGTGTAGGCTGGGCTGAGGGACCCGCCCCTCAAATGTATGAATTTTGTGCCCTGGGCCTCTAGTCACATTATAAAATTATAAAAAGAATTTTTTATTAATTTGAGTGGGTTTTTTTTTTAACCAACTACAGAGATAAAGTTAAGCTTTTACTATTTAAAAGAAAGAAAACCTCATGAAACTCTCACAATTAATTATTTTCTAAGCTTTCCATCAAAACAAAATAACTTAATAGAACTATGATTGAAATTTATAAGCTTTATATTTGATACATTATCTATAGAGCCAATCCTCAATTTTAACTTCTGTTTCTCTTCTAATTTGCTTTTACCTGTAAAAATATATCATCAAGGCCCCCTGAAGTGCTCTGTATGAGAGTCGTCTTTCACCTGCAAAATACATAGCAAGTTTTAATTTATTAGGTCATTTAGGGTAGTCACATTAATTTGGCACCATCACCTTAAATAATTGTTACATGTTTTTAGAAAGCAATGTAAGTTTTAGTTTAAAATTTTATCCCTTAGCTTGAAATTTGGAAAATATCACATAAAACATTGTTTTAATATTGCATTTTAAAAGGCAGACTGAAATACTAGTATATATAGGATGTTCAAAAAATTTTAATAGCTGATAACATTTAATTTTCACTCCTTTTCAATTTTAAATCATTTGAACTAATGGGTGAAACCAGACTAAGCTTTGAACACAAAAAAATTTATCCTAATGTTCCACTAGATATTTTTTTAATGGAGATACATAAAAGATAAAGTTTACAGTACAATACCAGCAACAGTTGACAAATTGAGGGCACACAAATACCAAACAAAATGATTTTTGATGTTTGGGATTCCATTGCTTCGAGTTATCAGCAGTGCCTGGACCAGAATGGTCATCAATTTGAAAACAGGCATTGACAAAAAATGATTCATTTCTGTGGATTCTTTAAATTTTGAAAATGAACTGTATGCTCTAATAACACTGACTTTATAATTATTCAAAATTTGTATACATTTTTGGGAATATCTACATATATACATATGGCTCTGAATTACTTGAGAAGCCATTTTCCATGTACCTTGGTATCCCTCATATTTGACATATCATGACAGTTTCTACCAATGTGTTTGAGATAAAATGGTCATTTAAAACTGTTAATATAATGTTCTCATAGATAACACTAACCAATGTTTGTTTCTAAGAGTAGAATATCAATTTTCATTTTATTTCCCCAAGTGGAATTTGATCTTTGATGCCATCAGTGATGGCGAGCCTTTTGAGCTTGGCGTGTCAGCATTTTGAAAAACCCTAACTTAACTCTGGTGCCGTGTCACTTATAGAAATTTTGTGATATTTGCAACCATAGTAAAACAAAGGTTTATATTTTTGATATTTATTTTATATATTTAAATGCCATTTAACAAAGAAAAATCAACCAAAATAATGATTTCACATGTCATCTCTGACACGCGTGTCATAGGTTTGCCATCACTGGATGCCATAATAGTACAGTGCCAAGAAACAATCCTTAAGAATAAAATTACCTACCTTTACTAAGAAGATGCTCATGGCGTTTCTCATCAAATAATAAGAGTAACACCTCTTTTTGTTTGTGAAATTCAGCCATTTGTTCCTCCTTTTCCTCTGATTCATTTTTAGCCTTTGGAGAAAATGCTTCATTAATATTCCCACAACAGAGAATAGATTCTAATTTTAGAAAACAGTGCCTCAAGAAGTAGACTTGCCAGGTGCAGAAAAGGTGTACTTGGGATATTTACCATTTCATTTAATATTACAACTTGGAAATTATGGCTTATAAGAAGGGGTCTTCCTCATAGTCACTGGTTCTATCCTTTAAGTTCAATTTAACTGATTTATCAATCTTAAACATTATCTTAATAAAGATCATGAGTCCTGGGCTCAGGTGGGTATAACTGGATACAAGTGGTCAATATGTTCAAATATTTGACAAAAATTATTTATCACAGTGAGGTTATTACACTCAGGAAAATTAATGATTCCTAGTCAGGAAAACTATTAATGCTACTGAAATTCTATATTCAGTATTATACCCTATAAATATAATTTCTTAGATATATTTCACACTTTTATTTTTATTCTTTTTATATCAATTGATTTGTTTAAGAAAATTCTTATTTTTCTGCCTACAGCACATGCTCTATTTATAAGCCAATTAATTAAGCTGAAGCAAAAATTAGTTAACCCAATTATCTTCAAGTCCTCAGAAGAATCAAACTGTTAAAAAGTTGTATGCACACTATTGCCAATTACATATTCCTTTTTTTTTAATAAATGTCATGCACAGGTGATAAACAAAATAGTGAGCAAAAATTGAGTCCCATGATCTTATGCAACATATTATGTGGTGGGAATAAGATGTAGAACAAATAATCACCTGAACATTAAATGTTGAACACTCAGGAGTGTCCCATGCCATAGTGGTATACAGAAGCAGTATAGTGCCATGATAGCATAGTTGTAAGGGGGTCAGAAAAGGCCTTCCTGAAGAAGTTTTCCTTGAGCCAAGAGCAAAGAATGAAAAGGAGTTACCTGGGGAAGAATACTCCAAACCCAGAAAATAACATAAAAAGACTGGTGGTAAACTCAAAGAACTAAATTCAGCCTAAAGGAAATACAGTATGGCCCACAGAAGATCAAAAAATGCCTTGAAGATTATATTAAGGATTTTTATTGTTATGCTGAAAGCAATGGGAAAACATCAAAGTGTTTTATGCAGAGGTCAGATGTGACTAGATTTGCATTTTGAAAAGATTACTCAAACCTGCAGTGTGGACAATAAATTGGAATGGAGCCATATTGTAAGCCTTGTCAAATAGCTGAGAGAATATGACTTTAGTCTAGGTGAAAAACAATGACAGTCTGCACTTGATGAGTGGTGGTAGATCAAAGAGAGATTCTTGAGAACTATTTGGAAGGTTAAACCAATAGCATTTGGTGATAGCTTGATGAAGTCAGTTGAGGAAGAGGGAGTTACCAAGGACCAATGGTACCAGTCTGACTTGACACACTAGGAGAAAAACTTGGAGAAGACCAAGTAGATACAGGAGTGGATGAAAGGGAATTTTTTTTTCTTTTAATCGGTGTATGTTTGAGAGGACCAGGAGGAAATATAAATTAAGGTGTTAAGTATATGATCTGAAATTTAAGAGGATATCGACACTAGAGGTATTTGTTTGAGAATCTCTGGTGTATAAGTAGCTATAGAAGCAGTGGGTATAAATTAGTTAATGTAGTGAAATAATATAGACAAAGGACACAAAGGCTGTAAGCCAATGAGTTGGGAAATCCCACCATTTACTTGTCTAATGAGCCGGTAATGGAGGCAGAGAAATTAGACATTTAGATGAAGTTAAAATATTGTGTACCAAATCCAAGAGGGTGGGGGGAATGTTCAAAAAAGAGTTAAATAGCCATTAGTAATGAACGTCACTGTTAGTTCAAGATAAGTGAAGATAAAAAATGGCCATTGGATTTATGTACATGGAGGTTATTTGTGAATGATGGGAGAAGAAGACAGACTGGATTGAGTTGAAGATTGGATGAGAAATAAAGGAATAATTATACTAACTACTGGTCTAAAAACACTTTACAAGTATTAATCTAATTTAATGCTCATAATAATCCTATGAGGTAGATACTCTTATTTTCTATTGTATCAATGATGAAAGTGAAGCAAAGAGAAGTTAAGTCAAAGATGTTCAATGTCACACGATTAAGAAGTGCAGGTGGAACTTGAACACATGCAGTGTGACTTCAAGACATTAAGCACTACTGATAAAGCCTCTCAAGACATAGAATTAGACAACTCCTTCAAGAAATTTAGTCATGAAAAAAGGAAGAAAGGCCTGTAATTTGAAGGAAATGAGGAATCAAGAAATCAACAATATTTTCTTAAGTGAGAAACTTGACATTGTCTGAGAATCAATAGGAAGAACTGGGCCTTTGTGAGCCTACTTCTGTCTAGAATTAGTCATAATCTTGAAATGTTCAATAGAAATAAAAAAAGGTATGTTAACCTCATCTATTTATCAAAGAAACTCTTGCTTATAATGAAATTCTTAATTTAATTTTTATTGTATCTAAATAAAATTAAATCAATCATGTAACATATTCTAAGTATATGCTTTTGTGAAAGAAAAATAAGAAAAAATGTAAGTTTAAGAGATAAGTGGAGAATTATTAAAATAAAATTTTCAATACTGTTTTCTGTAGTAAACTTATATTTACTTAAGGCAACATAAATACCTGAATCATACTGAATTCTTCTTCCAGGCCTTTAACAATATTTTTTTCCAACTTTTCCCAGAAGTTAAATCCATGTTTCTCTAAACCTGGTGTTCTTTCCAGCCATGCCTTAAGTAAACATTATTTTTAAGTTAATATATTGTAAAATTTTAAATAGGTGAGATACATTAAACTAATATTTATGAACTTGAAACAGAATATTTTCATGGTTTTGAGAAACATATATAATAAGCTACTTTTTGTGTGCAAACATTTTCTTTCCCTTCAATTTCTTCACTTAAAAATAGAAATCTATTCTATTCCATTTCTTACTTTTTAATAAAATCATATTACTGCTGTTTAATCTTTATTTATTAAGAACTATGACTGGCTGGAGCGGCTCAGTGGTTGAGCATCGACCTATGAATCTGGAGGTTGTGTTTCGATTTCCCATCATGGCACATGTCAGGGTTGCGGGCTCCATTCCCAGTAGGGGGCGTGCAGGAAGCAGCCAATCAATGATTCTCTCTCATCATTGATGTTTCTATCTCTCTCTCTCTTTCCCTTCCATTCCTCTCTGAAATCAATAATATATATATGTACACATATATATTTAAAAAGAAATATTACAAAAATCCCAATTTTGTTCTAGAAATCTATGAACATATGTAAATATTGTTTTAATGAAGTGTCTGGTTTATTCTCAAAGTACTTTATTCTTAAGATCTGAAGGAATTAAAACATGTATAATATATGATCTCTTCTAAATGCAAAGGCATGGTATAATTAGCAACTTGGAAATACACTTACTATTCAATTATTTTAATATTCCACAAGACTTTTTAATCAGAAATAAAACCTAATTCATACATCCCTGTGGGTTCTCATTTGGGTTTGAAATTAGCTTTCTGAGTCTTTCTATTCCTATCTTTATAAGCTGTTCTCTCTCTCTCTCTCTCTCTCTATATATATATATATATATATATATATATATATATAATATGCAAATTAGGCCAGGATGCTGTAAGGGTCATGGCCAGCTAAGGAGGAGGGGCTTGAGAGAACAACAGACAGGGCAGCCTGTGCCTGGCCCCAGACCAGAGAGAACAACCCGCAGGGGGGCTGGCCCCCAGCCCCAGCCCCATGGCCGTGGCGCTGGGCTGTTGGGGCTGGAGCAGAGTGGACACAAACCCACAGGGGGGCCAGGTTTGATTCTGATCAAGGACATGTACCTAGGTTGCAGGCTCCTCCCTGGCCAGGGCCCAGGTCAGGGCTCATGCAGGAGGCAACCAATTGAAGTGTGCCTCTCACATTGATGTTCCGCTCAGTCTTTCCCTCTCTCTTCCATGCTCTCTAAAAATCAATGGGAAAATATCCTCATGTGAGGATAAAAAAAAAAGAAAAAAGAAATTTCATATCCTATGAAAGAGACATCTTGAAAATGCCTAAAGAAAGTTGTTATTTTTTCGTGGTGAAGGGACTGGAGTCCGTGTTGATGAAAACACCTTGGCAGCTGCGGCGGCCGGCAGTGGCAGCAGCAGTGGGGTGATGGGGGTGGCGCCTTCCCCTGATCAGCCTGGTTCCCTCCAGCAGAGGGAGGCCAGTCTGCAGCCCGTGGGGAGTGGGCCTAAGCCATCAGTAGGACATCCCCTGAGGGCTCCTGGACTATAAGAGGGGGCAAGCTGGGCTGAGGGACCCCCCTGGCCAGTGCACAATTTTTTTTATTATATATAATGTTTCTAAAATTCTCAAGAAAGTTCTTCATATCTAAATACTTTAGTTAAATTTATAAATTTAAGCATTTTATAAATTGTTTATGTTCTTATTTACAATTAATGTGACCAAACTTTGATATTAGTTGTACAATTCTTATCTAGCAGAAGCTAAATTAAAAAGATGTATGTAGATCTTATAAATAGTATTTGAGCATGTACCTCCACTAGTTGCAAAAGCGTTTTATCCTGCTCCGACTTCAGTAGCAGTTCATTTTCTTCTCCTTTGAAGTTATCACGATAATGTCTCCTGTTGTAAGGGACTCTTAAACTCTGAAAAATACCCAACTTGTTTTCTAATAGTCGGAACTGTAAACTCTGGAAGCCTGATGCTGGAGATAAGTACTCTCTTTGAGAATAAATGAGGGAGAGAAGAAAAAGAGAGAAATGTGTTGACATTGTAAATTAGAGTTTTACTCTCTTAGATATCATCAAGAACACAAACACAGCTGCCTAGAATTGGACCTATGGTTCGGACATTACTGAAATAAGGAAAATGAGCTACCTAAACATCATTGTTGATATCTGTCAACCAATTTAAAGTTGAAATGTTTGTATAGTTTGTGAAGTGTCATATGTATGTATACACGCAGAAATACATATACACATATATGTGTATGTGTGTATACTAAATGTCTTCTTAAAATGAAAACAGGTGGGCATTGAACAATATATTTTTTCAATAGTGCTAAAAGACTGTAATTTATAAATATTATTCAATCCCTCCTAAAACTTATACTGTGTGTGTGTCTATGAGGCTTTTATTTTTCTTAATCTATTTAACTTTTTCACCTAGCCCCTCTACTTGCTCCCCTCTGACAGCTGTCAGTCTATTCTCTGTATCTATGAGTCTGTTTCTATTTTGTTTGTTAGCTTATTTTGTTCATTAGATTCTACATGTGAGTGAAATCATATGGTATTTGTCTTTCTCTGAGTGGCTTATTTCACTTAGCATAATGCTCTCCAGGTCCATCCATGATGTCACAATGGGTAAAATTTCCTTTTATTTACAGCTGAATAGTAGTCCATTGTCTAAAACTTATATTCTATCATTGATGTCACTACCTATTATTATTATGAGCACCAATGACATACTGTAAGTAAAATACAGGGGATGTTGCCTAGCACAAAAAAAGGCAATCAAAATGTTATTACTCCTACCCTACACAGCTATACAACATCTTACATTTTTGTAAGTGTCTTTCATCAATTGGTACTAAGACTTCAATTTTTTAATCCACCACAAAGGAATTTTGCTACATTTCTTTGAATGTCAAACATGTTGGACTATATATTACATTATCAAATGCACCTTATGTTCTAGGAAAATCTACTTTTAAATTTGGTATGATGAAAGCTTTTTTCTGAACATATATGTATATATGTTGTATATACATACATATATACATGTATACATATATGCATGCATATACATGTATACATATATATATACATATATACATATATATATATATATATATATATATATATATATATATATATATATCTTATATATAGCTTTGGCTGCCTGGAAATGTAGAAAATGTATAATTCAATCCATGACTTATTCTGATGTTTTTTCTGACATCATTGTTTATCACTCCTGTTTCTCTTTTATTTTTAGCTTTTAGTTTTTACAAAATTTGTTATATGCATTATATCAGCCACTTTAGCCATTTTGATAAGTGGTCTAAAATTATTTTTGGATAAAAACAGGGCACAACGATGAGTTGAAATTAATTAATCATATTATGTTTGTATGTAAAAACAAGTGATGAAATGTTTTTAATAACTTCTCAAATTCGTTGTGATTAAGACTCCCAAGTGCTGATAGTGACAGTGTAGGACAGGCTCCTCATCTCACACAACACACATGCCCTCCTTTACCCCACCAGAGTGAGAAGGTGAACCCCACCGAGTTATCACATAGCCACTGGTACATACCTGAAGTCATTGAAATCCAAGGCTGTCATCGTTTCCAGGACAGAAAACTGCTCTACCAGTAGTTTAAGGATCACCACCACTCGATGCATTCGTGTAACAATCTTAAGCATATTCCTTTCATCCCTGACCTGATGGTTAAGAAATGAGACACTGAGAAATCAATTCTGATGTTTAGAAATTACAAAATAGACTACAAACAATAATACATTCCTATGAACTTTATCTTTACTTCAGAAAGGAACATTGGAAGTATAATTCTGTGGATATTGAACTAATGGTAACTGAATTGTTTGCAAGGAATGTCTGCAAAATCAGAATCACATATCTTTCTTTAAAAATAGAAAATCACAGCCCAGCCAGAATGGCTCAGCGGTTGAGCATCCACCTATGAACCAGGAGGTCTCAGTTGGATTCCAGGTCAGGGCACATGCCTAGGATGCGGGTTTGATCCCTAGTGTGGGGCGTGCGGGAGGCAGCCGATCAATGATTCTCTCTTATTATTGATGTTTCTTTCTCTCCCTCTCCCTTCCTCTCTGAAATCAATTTTTTTAAAATAGAAAATTACATGAAGGCAAGTTAGAAGTAAATTCTGGAGATCAACATCCACTCATTTTAAAGCAAGTTTCTACGTTTGCTTCAAGGAATAAAGGTGAGCATGGCAACTTCTGGGTGAGGATGAAGCAACACCAGAATAAATCTGCTCTTTACTGAGGGACAAAGTTGCCAATGACATAAAAGGAAATCGCAAGCACATATAGAAGAGGATTGTCTGTGTCTGACTGCTCTCTTTCCCCAGCCCCTCCTGAGTGCTTAAGGCTGTGCCCTGTGTCTGGAAGACTTGTGGGAGCAGGAAGCAGGGCGGGAGGCAGGAGAACACAGTTCAGACTCTGCCGTCACCGGCGGTTCCACTGTTAGCACTCTTTTCTTTGTTTCTTTCTCCTGCTACTATTTTTTTTACCTTTTCCTGTTTACTTTCTTCATTATTGTTCCTATTTTCCCATAGCAAATATTCATTAGAAATACAACTCAGGTACTTATTCATTAAAGGTAGATTGCCGGCTATTCTGGCAATCTACCATCAGCTAAAACAACTATTCTCAGCGACAAAAAAATTTAATAATTAGTGAGTTCTAAATACTGTAAGGGGCTTGAAGCTGAAATTTGAAAGGAACTTGAATGAAATGTGAAACTCTAGGGTAGCAATGGCCTTGGGAAAATATGACTAAGCTCTTGGCCACTGGGGGGGGGGGGGATTTTTTTTCAGTAAGTAATAACCACCATTTGGTGTTAAATTCTTTCTCATTAGTAATATTTTTTACATTCTCCAAAAATATCCTGGAACCAGTATTGTGATATAACAACTCACATGGCCATTCTGAAAGATCTCACAAACAGAATCTAATTCCCAGAGGATTTGCTTAAACCAGAGTTCATAAGCTGCAATGAAAAAAAACACATTGTCAGTTGGAAAGTTTTGGGATTCTCTTTGACCATAATTATATAAAAGACATGGTTAACACATTGAAAGAAATAGAAATGTAATTTAAAAATCAAGAAATACCCATATAGCCCTATTTTATGCTACAACAAAATATTAGTGATAAATGTAAAATAGCCTCCATTTATTGACTGTTTTAATATGCTATGCATATTATCAATACGCTTTGTGGTTGTTAATGTTATTATACTGATTTCTCTCAACAAATATACTATTTAAGTCTTTTTAGGATATAGCACATGATCTAATTCTACAATCCCCTTGGAAGATGGAGGTATGCAGAGAAGCAGAAGTGACACTCAACTTCACCTATAAACTGAAATATCAGTATTTACTAATCTGATGAATATGACAAGACGTTAGTTTCCAGGGGCTTAGAAAACTGTGAGGATGACAAGTTTATGAACAGTCTAAATCTGAAACTTTGTCTTATTCATCTATTTCCCTTAGTATCTAGCACAGTGTTGGCATAAGATAAACCCAGGTGATTATTTTATGAATAAATGAATTTAATAACCAGTGGAGTTATTAGCTGAGCACAGAAAACCAATAATCTTAGAGATCTCTAGTGCATTCTACCTGGTGCTATCGTATGGCTGCAGGCTATGTTTCTGCACTAATTAGGGGAATCATATTATATTTTAAATCACATTTCAGGATACGCTTGGAATTTAATTTTCATAGTTGGACAAAGAGCAAAGCAGATATTTCCTTGATCAGTTTATGTAACCACCATTTGGTGTTAAATTTTTCTCATTTTAGGTTTAGCTTTCTGTAGTTTGCCCCATGATTCACTGATTATGTTTTGTAACTGAAGAAGGAAGGGAAAGGCTCCCTATCATATAATGATAGCTACCATTTGCTGTATGTTTATAATGTGCTATACCTTGGGCTAAGTGCTTAATGTGCATTACCTCATTTCATCTTCACAAGAACTCTATGATTGATAAAATACAACAATTTTCTCCATTGTACACATGGGGAAATGGAAAGAGTTACTGGTTAAGGGACCTGACCAAGCTTTCCCAATTTATAACAGTAGAGATGGGATTCTAAACAATTTTCTGATTCCAAACTTGTGCTATCCTGCCATGATTTCCCCCCTATTGAGCTTGTCTTTGGATAAGCCACCAATACAAATTACGTAAATTATTTTCTGTTTTTATTTTTTACTCATTTTAGCCAGTCAATGAAGCAAACAACCGTTTGTGGAAAAAAAACACAAAGAATTGGTAAGCAAAGAAAACATGTCTAGAAATGGACCAATGACTAGCTTGGGTCATTGGGTCCTGGACAATCAGAGGACAGTATTAGGACACCAACAATTTTAGAGTAAATCTTAATATTTTGGGGTCACAGACCTCTTTAAGACACATTCACAAATTTTTGCATACAATTTCAGAGTTCAGAGACTTTCTAAACTCTCAAAGTCATGGACTCCTACATGAAAAACTACTGCTCATGTTTTACCACTATTGCCACTAATCTGGACCCGCCTCCAGTTATTCCCTCTCAAGGTGTTCTTCTGCGGCATCGTATAAACCTTGATCTCTATCTCCCAGTCAATGTGCCACAGATATTCTCCATGCAGGTGGGAGCAGTGGGTCTCTTGGGAGGAGGACTAGAGAGTCTAGTGGGACAATCCTTTATTCCATCATCAGTGCCTGCAACCTTTGCTCCTTCACCTACTCCTGCTATGATCAGCAAGTGGTCTCAATGATCTACAGTAAATCCTCAATTTTGCAGACCTCAATTTAACAACTGGACTTCAGATTTAACAGACAAAATTTTCAGTCTGTATGTCATATGAAAAAATTACTACTCTGTTATTTTTTAAATGCTTTTAACCAAGATTTGCTTATAGTTAAATTAACAGGTTTGTTTCTTGTTATTAATCCATTGTTATTTTTAACAAATTTTAGTGGCTAAGCCATATGTTGGAGAAAAAACCTGTAGTAATTTTGCAGACATAAATAAATATTGCATATCTAAAATTATAGTCTACATATTGAAATCCAAGAGTCACCGCTTATAAACAATGTTCACTGAATGACTAATACATGATCACACCCAGTCAGGCATGATAATTGGTTATGTTATCACCTGGTGTGATTTTCTGCAGCAATTTAACACCTGTGGCAGATGTTCCCACATGTGCTCAGCCACTCCCCAGTCCTGTGCATTTGTTTACTTACAGTGATTGGTGAATGCAAGCATTTACTAGATCTATTCAGTATACATTTCAAATTATAGTAACACATAGAGAAAACTTTTCTTTGAAATTAAACTTTTCATATATAATTAATTTAATTCCACAAATATCTATCTATCTATATCTATATCTATATCTATATCTATATCTATATCTATATCTATCTATCTATATCTATATCTATATCTATATCTATATCTATATCTATATCTATATCTATATCTATCTCTATCTATATCTATATCTATATCTATCTCTCTATCTAACTATATATATATGCCTAAGAGATCATTACGACCGAACAACCAGAAAGACCGGTCGACCAGTCACTATGACGCACACTGACCACCAGGGGGCAGACGCTCAACATAGGAGCTGCCCTCTGGTGGTCAGTGGGTTCCTGCAGCCAATCTTCCACGGCGAGCCAATCTCCCCCAGTCCTTCCCCCCAACTGGCAAACCACCTTCAATCTTTTCCCTGCTGCCCAGCAGGCCCCGGCCAACAGCCAGCAGACCCTGGCTGGCTAGCCCCGTTTGGGACTGGGGGAGATGGCCCCTATAAGCCCTGATCACTGGCCAGGCCTAGGGACCCCACCCAGGCATGAATTTCATGCACCAGGCCTCTAGTGTCTACATAAGTAAAAACAGGTAAGCTAACTAATTTGTCAAATTTTTAACGTTCAGAAAACCACTTCATTATAAAATAGACTTTCAGCTTTAACGGACTGCCCCTTGCTGGAATTATTCCATTATATCAAGGTTTTACTGTATTTGAACTCTCTACAGGGATTTGCATGGCACCCGCCAGCTCCTAAGGCTGTTTGGCTGCCTGCACTAGAGGCTAAAGGCTTGGAGATTTCTGAAACATGTACTCATCACCAAGGACACATCTATTGGGAAATGAGCTTCACCAACAGAGCTCTATAGCACATGAGACTGCAATCTAGTCTAACAAGAACAGCTTTGGTGTTGTCCCTAGCTCTCCTCTGGCCATCCGGACACCACTGATGCCAGATCAGAGCATTGATGTCTCCCTGCCTCTCAGTCACGGGCCCAGTTATGAAGACAGAGCCTCTGAGTGACCTGCAGGTGGCTGTGCAAAACAATATTGATGTCTCCTACTTCAGCTGCCTCATCCCACTCAATGTGTTTTCTGTAGAAGATGGCAAAAGAGAGCTCCAGGTCTTTCTTGCAACAGGAAAGGATATTCCCAATGAAAATGAACTTCAGTTTCAGATTAAGGAATGCCATTTAATTGCTGACACTGTTGCCAGCAAGTTGTAAAACAACCTTTGTAAAGAGAATTGTGCAAGGGCGGACAGGACACACTGTGTCAATCTCTGATGCTCACTAACGGCATTTGGATCTTGGCTACGCTAAGTATCAGCCAGGATATGCCAAACAGATGCCATCCCTGAAGTGAAGAGCTGCTGAAGTCTCTCAATACATCTAGACTGGTCCAGTGCCATCAGTTCAAATCAAGGCCTCTTAAATGGAAGGAAGTGTAAAATCTGAACCCAAATACACTGAGGCTACCCACCAAGGTAGTGACTAGTCTAACCTGTGCTAAAATCAGGGCACAACCTGTCAGATAGTTTTAGCTTCCTGTGAAGGTTTGTAGCCACAGCTTCAATCACTTCCCACCTCTTGCCACCTGCTGCTGCTATCTGTCCTTAATGTGAGCATCTCTGTACTGGCTCAATGCAGTTTGACATTTTGTAATTGGGGGCTCATTTCAAAAGCAGAAAAAGACAAAAAATATTTAATCATGGAACAGTATCCCTGAAACATAAAAAAAGGAAATAAAACACTGCCCAGAGGTTTTAAGTCTGAAAAGGATAAACACACAATTTCAACAAAATTTACATTTTTATTAAGTACCAGATTTATATGGGAGTATGTAAAGTCACAATAAATTTGAGTGCTCTATTTCTTGAAAGTAATTTTTTTTAACTTCCAAGTTGAAAACATAGTAACATCTTACTTAAAAATTCTTTGTCAATTCCAAGATAAATGTTTCCTTGGACATAGGACAAAGCTCAAAGTTCAACCTGACCCAACTAGCAGGGAAGTAACATAAAGAAGACTTACAAATCCCAGGAAGTCCGATGAGAACCGATCTGACAATAAAATATTGTTGAGCATTTCTAACAAACGTGATTCCTTGATCTTTCACCATTTTACAGTTAAAAGAATTGTTGCTCTCCTCATTACTGATGGGAAATACCTGTGGAATAGTTATTGTCCAAACTTTTGTGCAACTTACCTTGATGAGTTATGATGAAAAGGTGTTCATCATGGATTTTATTTCCTTTTAGTTCACTTTGAAGCTCCTGTGCATTCAAAATTTTTTCCAACTTTAAACAAAAAAATAAATAAATAAACACCTGATTTTATACAAACTTCCAGCTATAAGATAAATGAGTAATGGGGATCTAATGTATAACACAGTGATTATATTAATAAGACTGTATTATATATATGAAAGGTACTAAAAGAGTAGATCTTAAATGTTCTCACCACACACCAAAAAATGGCAATGATCCTATCTAATAAAGAGGGAATATGCTAATTGATCCTCACACCATGGCGCTCACAGCCAATAAGGAGGGGATATGCTAATTGACTGCCACGCCCTCAAAGATGGTGGCGCCCACAGCCACAAGATGGCAACGTCGAGTCCTCTCTGCCCGCTGGGGCAGCAGGCATACGGCAAGGCCAGACCCGCCCCCAGGTGAGCCCGGCCTTGCCGCACACCTGCCTCCAGAGTCCCCCAGTCCCCTCAGCCCCCCAGCCGCCCAGGGCCAGCCAAGGCTCAGACAACCAGGGCCGGCCAAGGCTTGTGCTGCCAGCAGTGACAGAAGCAGAGGTGTGATGAGGGCATTGCCTTCCCCTGATCACTGGGTCACCTCCCGCCCCTGAGGGCTCCCGGACTGTGAGAGGGGGCAGGCCGAGCTGAGGGACCCCCCTCCAGTGCATAAATTTTCATGCACCAGACCTCTAGTCCTATCTAATAAAACAGTAATATGCAAATTGACCATAACTCCAACACACAAGATGGCCGCCCCATGTGGTCAAAGATGGCCACCCCCATGTGAACACAAGATGGCCACCACAAGATGGCCAGCAGGGGAGGGCAGTTGTGGGTGATCAGGCCTGCAGGGGAGGCAGTTTGGGGTGGGGGGACCCAAGCCTGCAGAGGAGGGCAGTTAGGGGTGACCAGGCCAGCAGGGGAAGGCAGTTGGGGGCAATCAGGCAGGCAAGCAGGCAAGCAGTTGGGAGCCAGCAGTCCTGGATTGTGAGAGGGATCCCAGATTGGAGAGGGTGCAAGCTGGGCTGAGGGACACACACCCCCACCCTGTGTATGAATTTCATGCACCGGGCCTCTAATATGACATAATAGCATGTTAGCTAAATGTTACACCAGTAATCATACAGAAATATATAAAGGTATCAAATCAACAGGTTGTGCACAATGTTATATAACAATTCTTGCACAATGTTATATAACAATCACAGTTCAATAAAACTAAAAAAAGTGACTGATTTTGAAATTGCAAAAGTTGTTTTTTATCAACTTTTATACAAAGTAGAATACAATACTGAAAAAATCCCCAAATTCTCAAATTCTCAGGATCTATTCTATGTACTTTTAAAAAATTAATGAGTCTTATTATAAATAAACAGTACGTTGAATTTATGGTTTTTACTTTTTCTGAAGAATATTATATTTGGTAGGATTCCATGATAACAAATGCTATCACACTCATTGAGAAGTCATTGTTCTTGTATCTCTTAAAATGACTATGATAAAAGCTTGTCAAGTGGCTTAGCTGACTGTGTGTCTTCCATTATTCTATCCCCCTAAAGAGCCTATTTAAAAAAGATTTTAACATGCTTGATCAGCTTATCCTTAGAAACCCATAGAAGCACGCACCCAGAACTCTAACTGTTTCACTTCTTAAACAATATAGAAGGCAAACAGGCTGAAACATACCCCAGATAATCTCCAATACCTCCTTTGTATCATCCTTCTTTTATTTATTAATGATTTCAAGAAAGCATGAGCCTTTAACATTTCTATTTTTTAAAAGGGGATTTAAAAGAGAAATTTGTCTGAAATCATTTGTAATTACCTAGGCTAGGATTTAGTGAAGTTGTCTTATCTCTACAAGTTGTACAATGCCTGCCAATTACCTGCACTAATTTGATCATTTATACTCTTTCGCCCAGATTCTGGGTTCTCTGCTGGATTTTCATATGAGTCTCTTGAATTGTTCTAACAAAGTTGAGAAAACATAAATTTATATGGAAATGGATATCATTAGGTTCAGAAAACTATTTGATAAGTGAGAAAAAAAAAACTAGACAAAATATATGCCCAACAATGGAAACTAAACACTATAAGATACTCAGCCACTTACATGCAAATAATTCCCATAGATAAGTCCTCCTTTGCTGGCTTTATTTACACCAGTTTGTGATTTGTCTTCTTCATTGCCTTCTAAAGACAGTTTTCTTAAATCATACCTGCAGATTAAATATGCGATAAGAAATAAACAGATCTCGAGAAAGCACAGTAACTAATAATATGAGTCATTAAAATTCTCTTACTGCTATTTTTTAAAGCATATTAACAAGGAAATAAGGGTGACAGTTTTCAATGTTCTTGAAATTCAGAAAATAAAGTGTTCATACTTAACATTTTTAAGAGCCTAACCATATTTAGAATAGAGATAAATACTTACTCAAAGTCATTTCTTAAGAATGGGCAGCCACTCATGGTGAAAACACACTGCTTGAGAAGCACTGAGGTTTTGGCTCTAAATGAACAGATCATTGATCTTCCCAGATGTTCTGCTGCTGCCTTTTATTTATCTTGATCACCCTGAACCTGCCAATCAGCTTTCTCCACTTACTCTTACTAGACTCTCATTTCCATTGGTTCAGAATTTGAAACTCTGTAAATTCAGAATGCAGTTTGTTTACTAGAATAGTGAGTGTTCTGCCAAACTGAATCATTTCACTTGATCAGTTCTGTTTTTGTATCCCAAATAACAAACACTGAATAAATCAATAGAGGCCAAGTTAAAAAAAAAAGAAAAAGAAAAAGATATTTAACTATTCTACTCCCAGGACACATTGGGCATAGTGTTAAGACATGTAAGATGATGAGCTTGTAAATAAACAAATATTTACTCTCTCAGTCTTAGGTATGGATATTCTTATAAGTCCTAAGGAAAAACTAAACTTGGATGTCTCTGGGGAAAGAAAATCATTAGTGAACAGAGGCAGGGTACATGCTCAAACCCCATTTACTTCTCATCTTCACAGTCCTTCCGGACTAAATCTCATAATTAGCAGTAGTTGTGGGCTGCTCTATTGTATTGGAACTTAAACAGACATGACTAGTTTATTTTTCACCTGTGGCATCCCAATTACAGGGCATTGGAGTCATCTGCATTGGGATGCTTTGTCTCTTAATAAAAACAATAACATGCCCACAACTTAAAACAGTGTCAGTGATAAAATATTCTTCATGGAAAATATTACTTATTGGTCTAAGTTCTTTTGAGGACCATTCAGCCGGGCAGACAGTCCCATACCCTGCCCTTAGTACACCACTGCTAAGAATCTAAAGACAGCATTTCTCATTATTTGACCCTCTAAAATGGTCAATGTATGTCTAATTTACCAAAGTAATTAAAGGCCAGAAACTTTATCTAGTCTTGGCTCTACCAATAAATAATTGTGTGACATTAAAAAAAAAAAGGACAATGTGACTTCTATACATACCAACTTCCTCACCAAAAAAAAAAAAATTTAAAAATGAAGATGCTTAAAAAAAGATCCTAGTCCATCCTACAATCCTGATTTTGTGACTCTAAAATAAATTATAATGTTTAATGCGGATTTACAGAAGGGTATACAGCATGAAGGCCATGTTATAAGAGAACTGGGAACTAATCAAAATCACATAGTAGACCTGTCATGTTCCATGTGGGCTTTTATAGGACATTCTGGCAATTGCTTACTGTGGGAAACTCACTTTAGATATGCCACATAGCTCCAGTGGCGAAGGCGTTAGCTGTGACTTGTGGCTGTGTAATCCTCTGTAAACTTTCATCTGGCAAACTACTCAAAAAATCAGAATGTCACACCAGGACAAATGTCATGTCCTCTGGAAGGAGGTTAGTGAACACATAGAGTGTAATAACTGCCTGATGTTACCTTTTAACTTTGCTTGTAACATTGTTCCCTGGAGAGGTTTCACAACGACCTGCCATTTGGTTTTGCCATTAACCCCTGTTATTAACCCCCTTTAAAAAGGAACTCTGTCCTAGGAGGGGTAGAGAGTCTTCCTGGCCTGCCACCACTGGGAACTCCTGCTTTGCCCATGTATATAAGTTTCTCCTATTAAAGCTCTTATAAATTTAAATTAGTCTAGGTGTCAGTTCTTCAAAATCGATCCTGAATTTAGACTTTTGGGACTTTCCCCAACAACCGGTGCTGTGAGCAAGCAGGATTCTGAAGAACCCACGTAAGCCATAGGCAAAATAGGGGGAAAATGGACTGAGCCAGGGGAAATCCAGGAATGGCCAAGCACTATGCTTTGGGCCAGTTGGCACAACATTGGAAGCTTGGGGACAGGTGTGTGAGGAGCATCGTAAGATGTTCCAAGATGCCTGCTGGAGTAGCAGATAATGGAAGAGGCTTAAGGTAGATAAAGACAAAAAAGGTATAAAAGCAACAGTGGCTGCTGTGGCCTGGCCTCTCCTGTGTACTCGGAGATTCTCCTTGGAAGAGGCGCTAGTGCTGGCCTCTAGGAATTTCCATTTGGAAGATGACCTCTATTTGGAAAGGGAAACTCACATGGCACAGGCAGCTACTGCCGAAGGGTTCTCACAACGTTGGCGGGTAGTATCAGAAAGACAGTATCGCTTACCTGGGGCCCATGCAGAGATCACTGATTCAGTTAAAGAGCTAGACAGATCGGACATAATTTGTCCCACCCATAGTCCTTTTCACAGACAGCCCTGTCTGGCCAGTCTGTAAGTCAAATGGATCATGGAGAATGACATTGGACTACTGGGAGCTCAATAAAGTAGTTCCTCCAATCCATGCTGCAGTTCTAATATCACCCAATTATTAAATGAAGTAAGCAAATCCTTAAGAACCTATCATTTTGTATTAGACCTGGCTAATGCCTTACTCAGTATTTCTATGGACATGCAAAGTCAAGATCCGTTCACCTTCAGATGGAACAGAGAACACTGGATGTTTTAGGTTCTGCCACCAGGCTATCTTCATAGCCCCACCATTTGTCATGGTTTAATAGTGAAAGATATATCTGTATGGAATGGTGGGCAAGAGGTGGCATTGCATCATGGTATTGCTTACATTACACTAACTGGAAATGATCGTACCATTTTACATAAGATGGCAGAGTGTCTACTGCAGTGGTCAGCAAACTGCGGCTCACAAGCCACATGCGGCTCTTTGGCACCTTGAGTGTGGCTCTTCCACAAAATACCACATGCGGGCGCCCACATACAGTGCGATTGAAACTTCATGGCCCATGCGCAGAAATGGGCCATAAATTGCAACAAGGTGCAAGAGTCCAGGTCCTCTGTCATTGGGGGGTTGTCTGGTATAGTAAGACAAAAGTTATTCCCACTGCTGTGCTGGATAAGATATTCAAAATTATTCTATGCCAGAAACAGTAAAACAATTGCAAACACTTTTGGAATTGCTTGGATATTGAAGGCCTTTTATTCTCCCATCTAGCTCAGCTCTTACCTCCCTTATACAGATTAGCAAAGAAATGAACAATGTGAGATTGGTGACAAGAGCACACTGATGCCTTTACTAGTGAAAAGGTGGCAGCAAACAAACACAAAAATTAGGGATGGGGGTATGAATTCAACCAACCCTTGTAAATTAAATGTTTCTGTTCATCTGAAGGGCTTTGGGTGGGGCTTAGGGCAAAAGCAAGATGAGAAGAAGGTGACCCTAGGTTTCTGGTCCCAATTATGAAATAAGATATAGTCCTATGGAAAGACAAGTCTTGGCAGTGTACCTTAGTCTACAGCCCTGATGGCGAACCTGAGACACACGTGACAGGCAAACTCATTTTTTTGGTTGATTTTTCTTTGTTAAATAGCATTTAAATATATGAAATAAATATCAAAAATATAAGTCTTTGCTTTAGTATGGTTGCAAATATCAAAAAATTTCTATATGTGACACGGCACCAGAGTTAAGTTAGGGTTTCTCAAAATGCTGACACGCCGAGCTCAAAAGGTTCGCCATCATTGGTCTACAGCATGTAAAGACTATCACAAAAGCCCTGCAGTGATGGTAAAGACACAGTACTCCATTGCTAGATAAATCCGGGAATTTTCCATACCCCAACTGAGGAAGGCCCAGCTCACTACCCTACATGAGTAGTATACATATTTGCAACAATGATGTACTATACTGACCAGTCCACATAGTACTGAGCTGCATGCCCTCATGGGCCCTGTCACATTTATTAGCAAAGTGCCTGAAAACACTCATATGGGCCCATGGACACATATTAAGGAAGGTCAAGTTCCAGTCCCCATGACTGCATGGTACACCAATGGGTCTGCTAAGGACAATCCACGCTGTTGAACCACAGTAACATTACAGCCAAACACAAACACTTTGTGCCTAAATAGAGAAAGACAACAAAGCAGTCAATGGGTTGATCTGCAAGCAGCTTGGATGATACTGATACATAAACCAAGCCCTGTTACTTTGGTAACTGACAATCAGGTTGTCTACAAAGGCCTCACTTTGTGGATGGAGCAATGGAAAAAGAACAGCTAAGAAGTTCAATAGTGCCCACTTTAGAGGGCTGAAATGTGGAATGAGACCTGGCAAAAGACAAAAGGCTTCTAGGACACTGTGAACCATGTACTGGCCCACAGTGTTCAGTCAACCTCAGGGAAATCAGAAGATGGATCAGTAGGCCCAGGTCCCAAAGATAGAGAAAACAGATACCTTCAAGAGTTGCCCCACTGGTTACATAAAAAGACTGGCACAGCCTGGCTGGCATGACTCAGTGGTTGAGCGTTGACCTATGAAGTGAGAAGTCATGGTTCAATACCTGGTTGGGGCACATGCCAGAGTTGGAATCTTGATCCCAAGTAAGGGGCATGCAAGAGGCAGCCAATCAATGATTCTCTCTCATCATTGATGTTTCTTTCTCTCTCTCCCTTCCTCTCTGAAATCAATAAATATATATATATTTTAAAAAGACTGGGCACAAATAGTTGAGCATGAATCTCACCCATATTAAGAGGACAAGCCAGGATTGTGCTCCTTGTTCTCTGGAACACACACACACACACACACACACACACACACAGAAGTTACCATGACATTTAGAACAAATAGCAAGAGCCAAAGCATTGGCCATGAGATGGCAGGTGGATTACTTCAAGTCCTCCAAGCTGTCTCAGAACGGCAAATAGACTTTGACATGCGTCAACACTGCCACTGGCCTATTGCAAGCATAACCTAGCAAGAAAGCAACTCAGAAGGTTACCATACAGGGATTTAGACAATTGTGTGTTACACACGAATGTCCCAGGGACATCAACAGTGACCAAGGGAATGATTTCACTGGTCACTAGGTGTGGGAATGGGACGATGACAACAATGTAATATGACACTGCCTTCTGCACTATCATCCTAAAGCTACTAGGCTGATTAAAAAGCTAAACAAACTATTAAAATAGAGACTGCAATGAAAAACCCACTTTCTAAAGGGGTGGATACATAGGTTGCCAGAAGTTCCGATGGAACTCAACAGCTACGCCACACAA